TTCAACAGACGGAAACGCAGAGAGGAAACCTATCGTACTTTCTCGGAGGAAAGAGCGCGTCCGATCCTGATGACTGGTCGCCAAACGTAGATGTTGTCAAAGAGACGATCAAGTTTGCCATGAGTACGCAGAGGCTGGATGCACAGATCAGCCAGCGGCAAAACGACCATGAGTAATTGCTAACCCCGCCATAACGACCCACGCCAACTCACATACCAACCGATAACACCTCCACGCACCCTCGTGCCATCGACAACAGGACTAGCTTCGGCCGCCGATGATAGGACGCCGAACACTTTAGGAGACACCCTCAGGACGGCCTGTTACTAACTCCACGAGCAGCCGCAGCATTGGCACGTAAAACTGAAGATGACACATACAGAGACGGACGAGACTTGTATGGGCTTCTGGGAGGCAAGGATATGAACGAAAGTGGAGAGTATGTAGATAATCACACGAGCCCTGAATAGCTTAGCCGGGGCGTAATAAACTATGTATGTATGTAATCTTCAGTTGATCAACATGATTCTGATGAGCTTCTCGGCTGAGCAAAACGCCTGTGTTGATCAGCGGGTGAGCCTCAACCAGCATCAGCATAGGACGCAAGAGGCTCTACGAACGGTGATCTACGACATGACATAGGAAGAGATCAGCCAGATCTTCGATCTTTCCACTCGTTATCGAGAGCGAAGCAACGTTGAATTCAGTCGTTGTTCTAGACCATGGAAATCAGGTTGCTGAAGTGCTTCCAGCCCAAAGACGGGATTGCCTTTTTGTAACGAGACAGGGCTAGAGTGATGTTCATATATCTCACCGCACTCGATATGACAGAACATGAGGAAGGAGATCGACTTATGTAGCGGGTGATTAGGAGGATTTGAAAAGATTCGATATCGCATTAGATTGTTACGCTGAATAGCGTCGTGTCGGCTAGGTAATGACACAATACGAAGATTTATTTTTGATTTAGTGACTAAGATACGTTGTCAAAGAACTCATGCGGTATAGTCTGAACATGTGTCGTAGCTTGATTCATCAGGAGGCCGATGCTTATTTTTGCGGCCTTCTCCGGACTCTTAGCCTTGTGTGGGACAAGGCGGCATCGGATGACCTGATGCCTTTGCCTCGCTTGAACTGATGACACGCCGCATAATTTTAATAACCGCGAGAACCCCTCTTCTACATGCTGGTTGGATAGGAACGCTACTCTAGTTCTCAAGGCTCACCGATCCGTACGCATGGTTCGCGTTTGGCGGTCGTTGGTCTGTTGACTTCCTTGAGCCCACAACAGGAGCAAAGGTCGTGGGGACAGAACCCATGGAACTCAAGGACGAAGAGATGCGCAACAAGCAAGCAAAGATGGATGCAAGATGTTACAAAGCCAGGCCCTTCTCCTGTGTTCTGACTATGTCATGCTGCACTTTAATGTTGGGCGCATTAGTGACATGCCAACGGCAACGGCAGCTGTTGCACGATGGTAGCCCTCGACATCATGGCTTTGGTGGTATGGCCTGGAAGAACTGATCTCTGGAACGACATAGACGGTGGGAGAGATATTCAGCAAATCCAAATTGACAAACTGGAGTACAGATATCCCCACCAATTTAACTATGCTCTAACTTTCGAGTTTTCTTGATTTGGATTCGATCCAGTGTCAACTGCAGAAGACGCCGAACTCGTGGATCTATGTCCGCGTCATTCAGTGTCAGCCGCACGTTGTCACGGAGCTGCTTTCGCTGCCGTTTCTTAACGTCCCTACGTAGAACAAAGTCCCACGTGCATATCTCGTTCGACATAGCAAGCCCTGCATGTAATGGTAGGCGATACCTTGATACTGACGACAGATCGTGGCCCTCGATAACCATTGGCTGCAAACAGAGGCGCCCGTGCACATAAAACACCGCCGTCGTTGTCACGGCCGTCGCGGTTTGTGAAAAGAGCTTGTCAAATGCGGTCACTATTGTAGCACTTTGGTCGATTGACGGGTCCCAAACGGCTAACGTGAGGTCTTTGAGAACTATCTCTCTTCTTTTTGGGTTGTAGCGAGCGTCGGACGATACCAGGCAGCGGGTGATCG